GGTCATTTCAGGTTTAACTGAATATTACATTGTGGTGATTGTGGCCGATTCTCAGACCTAAAGTAGCCCAGAGACAGTGAAACACAAGCAATGACTGTTTTTTCTTTAGTTTCTGGCTTCTCCTTAACTTCTCCCTCGGGTTTTAACACACCCACGAGGAATCCATTTGGGGGTACCACAGAGGGTCCTGAATTTGAGGGAGACCCCTCATTCAGATGAGGAAGAGGAGAGACTGGTCGGTTGGGGGCACCTCCCGCAGCCTCTGCCAAGCAGCCCTCTGTGGGGAGAGGCCTCGTCCTTCCCTGGGCAGAGGCGGAGCCGGATGAATTGACGGCGGCAGCAGCAGCATCCTGGAGGCTAAGGGAGCTGGACCACACCGGGCGACTAGGAATACTCTCTCTGGGGAGCCGAGGAAGCCAGTTTGGGTCTGATCTTTCTAAAATGCGAAGGTCATAGTGAAATAAATCAACCTTACGATTCTTCTTTTTAGCCATTCCCCAGTGCAGGAACAGGAATGTAACTGAATGTGAAAACCCCAGTTACATGAGCAGAAGGAAGTCCTCTGTAAGCTGTGCAGATGACTGCGTTCGATGTCATGGGCGGTGGAGAAGAAACCCCGGTCTCTGGGTTGACTAGACATCTTGGGCCTCCCAGGGGTGCCCTCCCATCCCAGCTACGTCCTGCCAGACACATTCCTGAGGCAACTGCTGGGCTCAGAGGATGACACTGCCAACATCCAGGACAGCTCCAGGCAGCCACCCCCTTAGCCCTCAAACCACCCAGCGCAGCTCACCCCCGCCCCCCACACCCCCCCCCATGGGATTTGCAGATGGAGGGTGACTGTAGCGATCCCCCCCCCATGGGATTTGCAGATGGAGGGTGACTGTAGGGATGCGTTCTGCTCCAGGCAGTCCACCCAGGCCAGCGGCCATCCGAGTGTGGCCCGGGTCAGGGGCATCAGCGTCCCCTGGCAGCAATGCACCAATTGTGGCTCCAGCAGTGCCTTCCAGGCTACCACCTGCCCGGTTCCCCATCCTGGGACCTTTCACTGCCCCCAGCAGGCCACAATGGCAGGTGGTGTAAGCAATTCCCCCATCAGCCCCCCCACACACATACTGACTTGTAATGTCAGCTCCATCAAGTAACAGTTTTCCATATAAACCTGGATTTTTATTCTGGACACTATCCTGTGAGGCTGATCTAGCTTTCCATTGCTGTCTATCGAGTATAGATTAAAAGAATATCTATATCTATATATATATATATATAGAAATATTATAAATATAAAATATAAGTCTGTATA